AGCCCCTGAGACGAAGCCTGACATCGAGCCGAGTCACTTAACCTTCCGTCCCTCTGTTTCCCACCCAGCCACCGACCGGCTTGACCGGGATGTGCGCTCCGATGGGATTGGGGTGGTCTCAGTCTGGTACCCCACAGGGACTGCCACGTCCCGGACCACGAGCTCCAGCCTGGGCGTATCTGAGCGGAGGCAGCTCAGCGTGGGGAGCCAGACCCTGCTCAGCTGAGCAGCAGGGGGATCCAGGCTCGCACCCAGAGCCGACGATGCTGGAGGGCAGCTCCGTGGCTCCAGCCTGAGCTCCTGGATCTGCCTGCAGAGCTCCTGCCTGCCAGAGCCTTCCAGCAAATCAATTCTGGAAACGAACAGGATGGACTGATTGAGTTAATCCTGAGGAGTTAATCAATGTCGAGGCCGTTTGGCCAGAAGTCCTGTTTATAATCCACACAGAGATCATTAGTACCTCGTGAGATGGAGGCGCAGTGTGAAGCCAGGCTTTATGGAAATCAGAGGCAGAACCACATCCAGGTCCTGCAGGCTGAGCCTGGGGGAACCGTACCCAGTGCAAGCGCAGGATGCGGCCGTCCAGCATGGGCAGAGCTTGCGGACGGCTCTCAGTCGCTCGGGGTCTGCCTACTTCCCCTCTCCCCCCGGCTTTTCTGCCTGCCCCCTCTCTCTGTTCAGCATTAGCAGCTCAGAGCTGCTGTGGGACCAGGAGCAGCCCACGCCTGGCACCAAGCTGGTGCTCGAAACCGCAGCAAGAGCAGCGGCGTGTCTGTCCCGGTGCAAAGGCAGCTGGGCATTACCCAGCCAGGGCTCCAGCCAGTCTGGTGCCCAGCTCCTTGGGCTCAGCACCCATCTGGAAGTGTGGCTCAGCAGAGCAGACCGGCCCCTTGCCAGTGAGGTCTGGATTTGGCTTCTCCTTCCCCGGGCTCTTCGCCATTTTTTTTCCCGGAGCGGTGAATGGCACCCGGCGGGTGACACAGTGGTTTAGGGTGGTGCTCGGCCAGGCTGCGGGGAGCAGGAGGATGCGGGAAAGCTCTCGGTGCAGCCGCATCCTACGTGGATGTGCTTGTGTCCAGAAGAGAGATCGCTGATGCAAGCCCAGGCACTGAACCACAGAGAGCTGGGACCACCGTGCCCCATGCTGGGGGAGCCCCTGGGGAGCTCCCCAGCCCAGGAAGGGAAAAAGGAGCACCCAGCACCGGCTTCGCGGCGTCTTCAGCACCCGAAGCCTTACGTGGCGTTTGCGTGGGAGTTGGGCCACTGGCCCCGACAGCCGGGTGAGAATCCAGCGCTGGCTGCTGGCCTGAGCTGGCAAAGCTCCCTGGATAAGCTGCTCCGGCTTTGCCAAGGGAACTGTTACCCGGATCGCCTGCCTGGAGCAAACAGGCTGTTTTTTCCCGGGGAAACCCGCGAGCTGTGCGTTGGGCAGGGGCCGGAGCG